GAGATGTATGATATGGTATGTATTTATAGGCAAATAAATTTCATATAGTGGTTGCTGGTGCTTGCATGCATGTGAAGTGTCACTCTTGCAGGCTAGGTGGCGGCCTAGGGGGTTACATATATGCATGCATGCATGTACAAAAAATGAAAGGTGTCACTCTTGCAGGCTAGGTGGAAGCCTAAGGATGTATCACGATTGGACAGTAAGGGAGACGCCACTGGACTTGGCGAAAGAGTACAAAAATGAATGGTGTCGCCACCCCAATTGGCGAATAAGAGGTGTCCTTGGTTGCAGGCTAGGCTTAGGCTACGTGACAGCCTTTGGGATTCCTTGCCTGAATGCATGTAACCCCGTTGGAGGTGATGGGAGGAGACTTACAACATATAGTATAGGTGCAGAGTAGGCGCAACCTAGGTGGCAGCCTAGGGGGTTACATATCTGCATGCATGTATCACGATTGGACAGTAAGGGAGGCGCCATTGGACTTGGCGAAAGAGTACAAAAATGAATGGTGTCGCCACCCCAATTGGCGAATAAGAGGTGTCCTTGGTTGCAGGCTAGGCTCAGGCTACATGACAGCCTTTGGGATTCCTTGCCTGAATGCATGTAACCCCATTGGAGGTGATGGGAGGAGACTTACAACATACAGTATAGGTGCAGAGTAGGCGCAGCCTAGGTGGCAGCCTAGGGGGTTACATATCTGCATGCATGTATCACGATTGGACAGTAAGGGAGGCGCCATTGGACTTGGCGAAAGAGTACAAAAATGAATGGTGTCGCCACCCCAATTGGCGAATAAGAGGTGTCCTTTGTTGCAGGCTAGGCTCAGGCTATGTGATAGCCTTTAGGATTCCTTGCCTGAATGCATGTAACCCCATTGGAGGTGATGGGAGGAGACTTACAACATACAGTATAGGTGCAGAGTAGGCGCAGCCTAGGTGGCAGCCTAGGGGGTTACATATATGCATGCATGTATCACGATTGGACAGTAAGGGAGTCGCCATTGGACTTGGAGAAAGAGTACAAAAATGAATGGTGTCGCCACCTCAATTGGCGAATAAGAGGTGTCCTTTGTTGCAGGCTAGGCTCAGGCTACGTGACAGTCTTTGGGATTCCTTGCCTGAATGCATGTAACTCCATTGGAGGTGATGGGAAGAGACTTACAACATACAGTATAGGTGCAGAGTAGGCGCAGCCTAGGGGGTTACATATCTGCATGCATGTATCACGATTGGACAGTAAGGGAGGCGCCATTGGACTTCGCGAAAGAGTACAAAAATGAATGGTGTCGCTATCCCAATTGGCGAATAAGAGGTGTCTTTTGTTGCAGGCTAGGCTCAGGCTACGTGACAGCCTTTGGGATGCCTTGCATGTAACACTATTGGCAACCTTGGGGGTTGCATCCTTACTTAATTGAAATTTTTAGTCTTACGTTTATCATAACATTGATTCACTTAATCTGTCAAATCTTCCAACCTTCAAACGTTCTTACAATCAAACCTTCAAACCTTCAAACAATCAAACATATAAACTTTCGAATAACTCATAAAGTTCAAACATTCCAACCTTCAAACCTTACAGCATTCAAACCTTCATACAATCAATAAACCTCAAACATTCCAACCTTCGAATCACTCATAAAATTCAAACATTCCAACCTTCAAACCTTAAAACAATTCTACGCAATGGCCTCTACACCATAATTTATCGTCAAAGCACATTTCAACGGTGAGACATACATTTGTCCCACCGCTGGGTTTTTGTTTAGAGACACAGACAACATCTGATTTCTCTTAAACGGGAAAGCCAATTTCTCGTACTTCAAAAAAAGATTGGAGGCCAAACTTGAACGAGGCCCGGTGTCCCGGATATTTTATCAGAATCCAGTTTTCTTTGGAAACAACCAAGTAATTTTTTATAAGGTTGAAGTTCAAGATGACGAGGATCTCCAGAATATGTTTTCCAGCCATGTCTATTCTGGGTACGACTCTATTGAGTTGTATGTTATGTTGCGAGAGCCTCAGGTGACACAAGAGGTTGATCCTTTGGAGAATGAACAAGCTGAGGTAGATGCAGTTGATGATGAAGAAGAAGATAACGAGTTAGAGTTTGATGAAATGGTGAATGATGATTCCGACGATGATGGCATCCCTAGTATTCCTGCAAACAAAATCTACACACCACCTCCGCACATGACAAATTTCAACATGGGCAGAGATGAACCTTCTACTGACTTATTTTTCAATCTGTATATGCAGTCGGATGAAAATTTAAAAGAGAATGACAAGTTTCGTAACAGAGAGGAATGCATCAGGGCCATTAAAAAATTCCACATGCTCAACTCGGTTGATTTTAAGGTGGATCATGTCAACCCGGAAAGGTACAAGATCAAGTGTGTCCACCCTGACTGTATGTTCAAGCTGACCGCATCATACAGATTAAGGGGTGACTGTTGGGTCATAGGTTCCATGACTACCCATACTTGTGTAAGTTCCACTCAATCACAGGACCACCGAAAACTCAACTACGATCTCATCTGTCAAGAAATCCTACCCCTGGTCAGCAACGACCCATCTTTGAAGGTGAAAACAATCATCTCCCACATCACCACGGTTTTTAACTATACTCTGTCTTACCGTAAGGCGTGGTTAGCAAAGACTAAGGCGATTGAAAGGGTGTACGGAAACTGGGAGGAGTCATACCAAGAAATTCCCCGCTACCTGAATGCACTCAAGACGTATTCTCCGGGTAGTGTTTACGTTCTGGAAACAGTGCCAGCATACGCCCAAGATAGTAGTCTACTAAATGGCAACGGAATATTCAGTCGCGTGTTTTGGGCATTTCAACCATGCATCACAGGGTTTGCATCATGCAAACCAATTATACAAATTGATGGGACTTGGTTGTATGGGAAGTACAAAGGCACGCTACTGATGACAGTTGTACAAGATGGCAACAACAACATTTTCCCCATTGCCTTTGCCCTTGTCGAGGGGGAGACCGGTGGTGCTTGGAGCTTTTTCCTGAAAAATCTGCGGACACACGTGGCTCCTCAACCAGATCTCTGTTTGATCTCGGACAAACATGCCTCCATTGAAAGTGCCTACAATAATCCAGCAAATGGTTGGCATGACCCTCCTTCTACGCATGTCTATTGCGTTAGGCACATCATCCAGGATTTCTCGAGGGAGATCAAGGACAAAACATTGAGGAAAGCGGTTATGAATGCGGGATATACATTGACACAACCCACATTCAAATATTACCGTAACGAGATCCGTTTGTCAAATCCGGAAGCCGGTAGGTGGATCGATAATATTCCGGTGGAAAAATGGACTAGGTCATATGACAATGGCCAAAGACGGGGGCATATGACAACGAATCTTATTGAATCAATGAATGGGGTATTCAAAGGCATACGAAACCTCCCAATCACTGCCTTGGTAAAATCTACGTATTTTAGGATGGCTGCGTTATTTGCCAAAAGAGGTGAAATGTGGAATGCGGTGTTGCAATCTGGACAACTATGGAGTGAAAGCTGCATGAAATACATTAAGGCTGAAAGTGCTAAAGCCAACACTCATATGGTTATACGGTTTGACCGACACAGCCACAACTTCATTGTGAAAGAGACAATCGACCACAATGAAGGCCTGCCAAGACAAGAATATAGGGTCATGCTACCTTCTCAATGGTGCGATTGTGGCAGATTTCAAGCATTTTGTATGCCTTGCTCTCATGTCATTTCCGCTTGTGCTCATACCCATCAAGACGCGCTGCAACTTCTGTCAAACATTTACAAATCTGAAACGTTGCTCAACGTTTACAACAACAACTTTCCTTTGGTAGCAAAACCAGATTATTAGCCTGCATACGACGGCGAAATAGTGTGGCACAATGACCAAATGCGAAGGAACAAGAAGGGTCGTCCCAAAAGTAAGCGCATCACAACAGAAATGGACGATCTTGACATGTTGGAAAGAAAGTGTGGTTTATGCCGTCAGGTCGGACACAATCGCAAAAACTGTCTGAATCGGTTGTCTGCCTCGACCACATAAATATTGTAATACATAAAATCTTTTCTTAATTGTGTTGTAAACATTTGGGTTTTCCGTTAACAGATTTTGCTACAATTAATAAAACGCGTACAAGAATAATTAACGATATTCCATCTACGAAATTACAACTGTTAACACAATTTCATCTGACCCATGCATCATCAATATTACATCGCTGTCTGTTTTGACTTCCTCCAACCACACATTAGGTCTTCCTATCGCATGTGAGGTTGTTGTTCGTTTTCGCTGGATCCTTCGAATTTTTTCCCCTTCCGCAATGTCTCCATCTAGCCATCGCATCAACTCCCGCTTCAGACGCTCCATGGAGTGAATGTGCCATAATTTCATTTTCATCGCAGGTTTCGTGGCGGAGAAGATAACGTAACCATCTCTGCTAAAAATCATAGGCGACGTCATGACGCAAATAACAGAGTACAAAATAAAAATACAGTACGAGAAAGTGTGAGAAATTTCGGAGAAACGGACGAATTATTTATAAAACAGCATTTTGCCCTAGTTTTGCCCTAGGAGCCAAGTGAGATGGCGTCTCCTCTCACTTTTAAGGAGCATGCGCCATCTCACTTGGCTAAAAGCCAAGGGAGGCGCCAAGTGAGATGGCGCCTAGGGAAAAATTGTAGGTGCATGCGCCATTTCAGATGGCTCCTCCTTTGGGAAGTCATCTGAAACATGGTTATTTACGTAATTTTTTCCGAAATCCAGTTATTTACAAAATATTATTTTAATATATAGTTATTATAAAAAAAAAAAATTGTAACGGTTGGTCAACCTGGCCAACTCCAACGGCACAAAAAATGAAACGCATGGAAAATCCTTGAAAGAACCTCCGCTGAAAGTACTGTTATGGTTGTCTCTAAACATTCTAATTTTTTCTTACACACACAAAGTTATAATGTTGTAATACTCAATATATAGAACTTTGTATCAACAAGAAGAAGTTGTTGGTAGAGTTTTAGCCTCATCAACAATGCTCATTATCTCTTCTATACTTTGAAGACAAGTGATTGAATTTTCTTCTATATAGTTGACATCTTCACCCTCTTTTGTTGATTCCTCTGGCAACTTCTTTAATAACCATGGGTGAGACTTAATTTCCTTCATGCTGATCCTCTACAATTAAATTATTATAGTTTAATACAATATCAACTAATTAATTAAATAAAAAGAGATGTTAGTATATATATGCATACTTTCATTGGATTTGCAACAAAAATGCAAGATAACAGATTTCTACAATCTCGAGACATGCTAACGGTATCTGGGATCATGTATTGAACAAGCATAATTTGCTGCAAAAAAATTGTATGTTAACAAGATTAAACATGAGATAAATAATCTATTTACTAGGGATGAAAAAAAGGAAATAAAAGTTTAATTAATTAATTAATTACATTCATTATTTTCTTGAGATTTTGCAGATCATTTTGGTCCCCAAATGGAAATTCTCCCACTAACATTATGTAAAGCATCACTCCACATGACCATACATCTACTAACTGAGAGAGAATAGGTATAAAAAAAGTTTAATTTATGTTAACTTCAATGCTACAAAGTAAAAAATAAAATAAAAAATACTACCTTTCCATCATATTCTTTACGAGAAAATATTTCTGGTGCAATATAGGATGGAGTTCCAATCATTGATTTGGGTCTTGAATGTAGTAGATAAGACTGAAATTAAACTTGTTAAAAACATTCAATATTTCTTTAATTTTTTATAAGAAAGCATTCAACATATAAAAAACATTGATATATTTTTATTGAACCTTAGAATAGCCAAAATCACAAATTTTAATAAGCTTTCCATTTAATAAAGTGTTCTCCAACTTCAAGTCTCTGTGACATATTTCCTATAAAATAAAATAAAAAGTAATACTAATATATTATCTACACATATATATTGAAGCAAACAAATAATTTATTGATTCGAGAATAATTAATTTACCATGTCATGACAATGAGTAACCCCTGAAACGAGTTGTTGGAAGAAATAGCGAGCCTAAAATATGTGCAAAAATAAATAAATTATAGAGCATTTGTGTGTGCAAAGAAATGACACAGATATTAGATATTGTAATTTAGTATTAATGTATAAATAAGAGAATGAGAGAGCAAAATACCTCATCTTCATTTAATTTACCATGACTGGAAATATAATCAAATAGATCTCCACTAGCTGCATACTCCATAACTATTGCAATATCTCTTGGAGTCAAAAACACCTGCAATAGCCAATATTATTCACATGTCATATTAAACAAATTAAACGATTGAAATTCAATTATTTAACTAAACAATTGAAATTCGAAATCTTTAACAAAATATTAAACAAAGTTAAATTTTCATATTTGACAAAATAATCCCTTTAACCCTACATTTTTTGAATTTTTTTTATTAATAACCATGTATTAAAAAAAAATCGCAAATAACCGCGTCTCGAAAAGAAAAACGCAAATAACCATGTTTTAGATGACTCTCCAATGGAGGAGCCATCTGAATTGGCGCATGCACCCATTTTTTAAGGGGAGGTGCCATCTCACTTGGCGCCTATGTGCTTATGGCATGCCCTAAGCCAAGTGAGATGGCGCCTAGGTGTTATTTTAGGGTAAAATTTGATTTATTTTTTTTGTCCGGTGCGTTGCGTGTTGGATACAGGATCAACAAAATGGACTTTTTATTAAAAAAAAAAAATTACATCCAACTGTATTACATTAAAATAACAGATAAAAAAACAGATAAAAAAATACAGGAAAAAAAAACAGATAAATCAGTGATCCCCCGGAACCCGGTAATGACCCCCGGTTCCGCATCCTCGTCCTCGCCTTTCTCGTGCTGGGTGTCGTCGCGTTTCCTACTGCGGCAAGGTCGATGGCCCAGCGAAGTCAATGCGGTCCGGATCCATAAAATCAGTCAGATCTCCATATCTAAAAGATCCGCTTTGGTACAGTCGGTTACCCATACCCTCAAAGTTTGGTCGTGTTGGCGGTGGGTGGGGTTCCATAATGGGTTTGTAGCATTGATCGTCTGAGTACGGTGGGTAGAAAGGAAATGGATCTTGGGGTGTTTGGTATTGAGGATGTTGGGTGGTTTGGTGATATTGTGGTTGATGGTAGGCTGGGTCGGTTTGTTCGTAATCTTCCGACATTCCCATATCAAGGCTAAGGCTGGATGTTGAGGGGCCCATATTGGGATATGCGGAAGACTGAAATTGTGTGTGGGGTATGCGGGTGTGCTGGTATTGGGATTGGTATTGTGGTTGGGTGTGAGGCATATCGGGGTATTGGTAGTGTGGTGGTGATTGTGGTTGGTTGTGTGGCATTTGAGTGTAATTGTGTTGTGGTGGAGACTGTGGTTGGGTGTTTGTGGGTCTGTTTCTTCTTGGGGGTGGGAGGTTGATGGGTTTTGGGTTTGTTGTTAGGGAAACGAGGGTTGTGCCCATTGTGTGCGTGGGTCAACCAAGTACCTTGGATGAGACACGTGCATTTCAGGGTTACTAACCGACCTGTACCAAGACAAATATTGATCAGTGTGTCGCATATTACCTTGATTAAGGAAAACCGGGAATTGTAAGACGTAGCGGTGACGCCTCTGCCACATCTTACACCATTCCGGAGCAAAGTCTTTCCAGTTGGTAAGACCCCACTGGGTGTCGACCCTTTTAAGATGCCATGGGGACAAACAAGTTGGATCACTTGGTATCTCTTGATGCATTCCGAACTGCATCTTCACACGGTCGCTGTGGTGCATCTCCACAATGTTGAACCGAATGATTGCAGTCTTCGCGGTCCAAGTTGCTGCATCCTCCGGGTTTGGATCATGGCCCAAACCCAAATATGGTCTCCAGACGAACTGCGATAAAATTTAAATCAGGTTAACGCAAAAGTAATGTATAAATAATTTAAATGAAGAAAAGTTAAAAGCTACGACGTACGTCATCCGGGCCTAAGTGATCCAACAGATTGCGGTATAGTGCGACATTGAATCTTGGATTCTTGTCGTAATCCATACCCCTCACGCAGTACCTAAAGGAAATGAAAAACATTTTATTCTTAGCATATATTTGGGGAAGAGATGAATAGTAATAAATGCTATAACTTGATGACTTACTTTGTTGCGTACGGGAAACCGAAAGTGTTGTTGTTGACGGGGTTTAAGGACTCCATCCTCCACCAACCCCAGGCTTGTAGTAAAAAAGCGCACCCATAAAATGTACATTTTTCCTTGACTGCATTTTTGCACAAGGAACTGTATAGGTGGGCTAAAACTGCAGAACCCCAACTATATTTTCTTGTTTTTTCAAAATTTCTTAGTAAATGTAAATACATAAGATTTACACTATTTCCCGTACTTTCGGGAAATAAAAAGGTACCAAATAGTATCATAAGATAAGTTCTGGCTTTTACTACCCTGTCATTCTCGGAGGAATTTTCGTTTAATTCCAAACTTGCATAATGACTTTTCAGCTCAGTGAGTAGTATTCCCTGACCTCTCGCACCACCACCTTCTACCATATCCCTGCCCAATAGTTCTTCACACTGAGAGTTGGGTTGTTGAACCGGCCCGTTCACGGCCTTACCGTCGACAGGGATACCTAGTAGCATGTACACATCCTCTAGCGTGATGGTACATTCACCTATTGGTAGGTGAAATGTATGGGTCTCTGGTCTCCACCTTTCCAACATTGCAAGAATGAACTTCGAGTCAATGGTGCAGTTGGAGATCTTTATGACATGTCCAAAACCTGCGTATTCCAGATATGGTACGATAAATGGGTCGGGAGCCAGGTAGTTGTGAGAACGGATTCTAAATATTTTTGTGTTCTGAGTTCATAATGTAACATGTGTAAGATTAAGTAAGACGAACAACACATTATCTGAAGTATGAAAAATGTATAACCAAAATAGAAACTTACAAATGCGGCAATGTTTTCCCTTGTGCCTCTGTGAGTATCGCCCATTGTTAGAAGAGCCATTGTTTAAAATGCTTGAGATTATGAAAGACTTAGGAAGAGATAGAGAGTATGAAAGACTTAGAAAGTGTAAGAGATTATGAAATATTTCGTAGCAGAGAGTGAGACTTGTGTGGGTGTGAGAGATGTATGATATGGTATGTATTTATAGGCAAATAAATTTCATATCGTGGTTGCTGGTGCTTGCATGCATGCGAAGTGTCACTCTTGCTGGCTAGGTGGCAGCCTAGGGGGTTACATATATGCATGCATGCATGTACAAAAAATGAAAGGTGTCACTCTTGCAGGCTAGGTGGCAGCCTAAGGATGTATCACGATTGGACAGTAAGGGAGGCGCCATTGGACTTGGCGAAAGAGTACAAAAATGAATGGTATCGTCACCCCAATTGGCGAATAAGAGGTGTCCTTGGTTGCAGGCTAGGCTCAGGCTATGTGACATCCTTTGGGATTTCTTGCCTGAATGCATGTAAGCCCATTGGAGGTGATGGGAGGAGACTTACAACATACAATATAGGTGCAGAGTAGGCGCAGGCTAGGTGGCATCCTAGGGGGTTACATATCTTCATGCATGTATCACGATTGGACAGTAAGGGAGGCGCCGTTGGACTTGGCGAAAGAGTACAAAAATGAATGGTGTTGCCATCCCAATTGGCGAATAAGAGGTATCCTTTGTTGCAGGCTAGGTTCAGGCTACGTGACAGCCTTTGGGATGCCTTGCCTGAATGCATGTAAGCTCATTGGAGGTGATGGGAGGAGACTTACAACATACAGTATAGATGCAGAGTAGGCGCAGGCTAGGTGGCAGCCTAGGGGGTTACATATCTGCATGCATGTATCACGATTGGACAATAAGGGAGGCGCCATTGGACTTGGCGAAAGAGTACAAAAATGAATGGTGTCGCCATCCCAATTGGCGAATAAGAGGTGTCCTTTGTTGCAGGCTAGGTTCAGGCTACGTGACAGCCTTTGGGATGCTTTGCATGTAACACTATTGGTAGCCTTGGGGTTGCATCCTTACTTAATTGCAATTTTTAGTCTTACGTTTATCATAACATTGATTCACTTAATCTGTCAAATCTTCCAACCTTCAAACGTTCTTACAATCAAACCTTCAAACCTTCAAACAATCAAACATATAAACTTTCGAATAACTCATAAAGTTCAAACATTCCAACCCTTCAAACCTTACAGCATTCAAACCTTCATACAATAAATAAACCTCAAACATTCCAACCTTTGAATCACTCATAAAATTCAAACATTCCAACCTTCAAACCTTAAAACAATTCTACGCAATGGTCTCTGCACCATAATTTGTCGTCAAAGCACATTTCAACAGTGAGACATACATTTGTCCCACCGCTGGGTTTTTGTTTAGAGACACAGACAACATCCGATTTCTCTTAAACAGGAAAGCCAATTTTTGGTACTTCAAAAAAAGATTGGAGGCCAAACTTGAACGAGGTCCGGTGTCCCAGATATTTTATCATAATCCAGTTTTCTTTGGAAACAACCAAGTAATTTTTTATAAGGTTGAAGTTCAAGATGACGAGGATCTCCAGAATATGTTTTCCAGCCATGTCTATTCTGGGTACGACTCTATTGAGTTATACGTTATGTTGTGAGAGCCTCGGGTGACACAAGAGGTTGATCCTTTGGAGAATGAACAAGCTGAGGTAGATGCAGTTAATGATGAAGAAGAAGATAACGAGTTAGAGTTTGATGAAATGGTGAATGATGATTCCGACGATGATGGCATCCCTAGTATTCCTGCAAACAAAATCTACACACCACCTCCGCACATGACAAACTTCAACATGGGCGGAGATGAACCTTCTACTGACTTATTTTTCAATCCGTATATGCAGTCGGATGAAAATTTAAAAGAGAAGGACAAGTTTCGTAACAGAGAGAAATGCATCAGGGCCATTAAAAAATTCCACATGCTCAACTCGGTTGATTTTAAGGTGGATCGTGTCAACCCAGAAAGGTACAAGATCAAGTGTGTCCACCCTGACTGTATGTTCAAGCTGACCGCATCGTACATATTAAGGGGTGACTGCTGGGTCATAGGTTCCATGACTACCCACACTTGTGTAAGTTCCACTCAATCACAGGACCACCGAAAACTCAACTACGATCTCATCTGTCAAGAAATCCTACCCCTGGTCAGCAACGACCCATCTTTAAAGGTGAAAACAATCATATCCCACATCACCACGATTTTTAACTACACTCCGTCTTACCGTAAGGCGTGGTTAGCAAAGACTAAGGCGATTGAAAGGATGTACGGAAACTGGGAGGAGTCATACCAAGAACTTCCCCGCTACCTGAATGCACTCAAGACGTATTCTCCAGGTAGTGTTTACGTTCTGGAAACATGCCAGCATACGCCCAAGATGGTAGTCTACTAAATGGCAACGGAATATTCAGTCGCGTGTTTTGGGCATTTCAACCATGCATCACAGGGTTTGCATCATGGAAACCAATTATATAAATTGATGGGACTTGGTTGTATGGGAAGTACAAAGGCACGCTATTGATGGCAGTTGCACAAGATGGCAACAACAACATTTTCCCCATTGCCTTTGCCCTTGTCGAGGGGGAGACCGGTGGTGCTTGGAGCTTTTTCCTGAAAAATCTGCAGACACACGTGGCTCCTCAACCAGATCTCTATTTGATCTCGGACAGACATGCCTCCATTGAAAGTGCCTACAATAATCCAGCAAATGGTTGACATGACCCTCCTTCTACGCATGTCTATTGCGTTAGGCATATCGTCCAGAATTTCTCGAGGGAGATCAAGGACAAAACATTGAGGAAAGCGTTTATGAATGCGGGATATGCATTGACACAACCCACATTCAAATATTACCGCAACGAGATCCATTTGTCTAATCCGGAAGCCGGTAGGTGGATCGACAATATTCTGGTGGAAAAATGGACTAGGTCATACGACAATGGCCAAAGATGAGGGCATATGACAACGAATCTTATTGAATCAATGAATGGGGTATTCAAAGGCATACGAAACCTCCCAATCACTGCCTTGGTAAAATCTACGTATTTTAGGATGGCTGCGTTATTTGCCAAAAGAGGTGAAATGTGGAATGCGGTGTTGCAATCTGGACAACTATGGAGTGAAAGCTGCATGAAATACATTAAGGCTGAAAGTGCTAAAGCCAACACTCACATGGTTATACGGTTTGACCGACACAACCACAACTTCATTGTGAAAGAGACAATCGACCACAATGAAGGTCTGCCAAGACAAGAATATAAGGTCATGCTACCTTCTCAATGGTACGATTGTGGCAGGTTTCAAGCATTTTGTATGTCTTGCTCTCATGTCATTGCCGCTTGTGCTCATACCCATCAAGACGCGCTGTAACTTCTATCAAATATTTACAAATCTGAAACTTTGCTCAACGTTTACAACAACAACTTTCCTTTGGTAGCAAAACCAGATTATTGGCCTGCATACGACGGCGAAATAGTGTGGCACAATGACCAAATGCGAAGGAACAAGAAGGGTCGTCCCAAAAGTAAGCGCATCACAACAGAAATGGACGATCTTGACAGGCTGGAAAGAAAGTGTGGTTTATGCCGTCAGGTCGGACACAATCGCAAAAACTGTCCGAATCGGGCGTCTGGCTCGACCACATAAATATTGTAATACATAAAATCTTTTTAATATTTGTGTTGTAAACATTTGGGTTTTCTGTTAACAGATTTTGATACAGTTAATAAAACGCGTAGAACAATAATTAACGATATTCAATCTAGGAAATTACAACTGTTAACATAATTTCATCTGACCCATGCATCATCAGCATTACATCACTGTCTGTTTTGACTTCCTTCAACCACACATTAGGTCTTCCTGTCGCATGTGAGGTTGTTGTTCGTTTTCGCTGGATCCTTCGAATTTTTTCCCCCTCCGCGATGTCTCCATCTAGCCATCGCATCAACTCCCGCTTCAGACGCTCCATGGAGTGAATGTGCCAGGATTTCATTTTCATCGCAGGTTTCGTGGCGGAGAAGATAACGTAACCATCTCTATTAAAAATCATAGGCGACGTCATGACGCAAATAACAGAGTAGAAAATAAAAATACAGTGCGAGAAAGTGTGAGAAATTTCGGAGAAACGGATGAATTATTTATAAAACAGCATTTTGCCCTAGTTTTGCCCTAGGAGCCAAGTGAGATGGCGCCTCCTCTCACTTTTAAGGAGCATGCGCCATCTCACTTGGCTAAAAGTCAAGGGAGGCGCCAAGTGAGATGGCGCCTAGGACAAATGCGCCATTTCAGATGGCTCCTCTTTTGGGGAGTCATCTGAAACATGGTTATTTGCGTAATTTTTTCTGAAACCCGATTATTTGTGAAATATTATTTTAATACATAGTTATTAATAAAAAAAATTCATATTTTTTAGCATATCCCTCTCTACTTTATTCTCACTTTTATGTTTTATGGATGGTAGGTCCGCTGAACCATTATGTTCTATTCTGTTTTTTGAATTATAATATTATATATGTAAAGAAAACATTTCTAAAAAAAGTTAAAATAAAATTCATACTACTTAGTATTCTATTAACCTTTTTAGAAGCAAATTAAAAATTTTACAATCCAAAAATATGGTATAAACATACCTCCTTGAACTGAATAATATTTGGATGATGAAGAGTTCTATGGTTTATGATTTCTCTTGCCACCCTTTCATCAACCTGTAAATATATATATCAAATTCATATGCAAATTAAAAAATACAAAAAAAAATAAATTAAATTTAAACAAGATGAATCCACAACAAAAGTAGGACCAATACCTTGTGTCCTCGTGAGATGTACTTGACTGCAAAAATGGCTTTTGTTTCTTTGTTCCGAATAAGCTTCACAGCTGCATAATTTCCATATCCAATAACCTTCACATCTTCATACTTTTCCATACCTTTTCTTCTTCTTGTTCTTGAAAACTTTACAATAACTTCAGTTGGTATAGACTGATTAATTCAACAAAGATAACCAAACTGTAAAATAGTAGTAGTAATAGTACTAATTGCATTTATTGTATGTTTTGAAATTAAGATATTTGTCTTCAAAATAATGTATTTGATGGAAATGACTTTTCAGGCATTCAATGGGGATTAGTTGAGATTGTGTTTGTCTTTAGGAAGTTATGAGTGTGATTGAAGGCTATTCTTCATAATTGTGTTTAAAGTGTTTTTAATTAAAAACATATAAATTTTTCAATAAATACATATTCTTTTTTAAAAATAAAAATTGTATGTTATGAAATTTTTTATTATTTGTCTTTTATTCTTATGTCTTCTTATATAGCCCAAGTGTTGCATGATTTAAATAAAAATATAGTAAGGCTTTGTTTGGCTTTTTTTTTTTTAAAGTTTATATGTTTAAAAAAGATTAATTTGATAATCTATTTTTTTCACAAGTTTATAACTCATTTTTTTTACTAATTTATGATTTTTATAAGGTAATTTAAGTAGTTTATAAAATATCATTTTTTTTCAATTTAATCTCTTTTATTTTATTAGAAAATTATTATTTTTAAACCAAAAGATATATTAATAAAATAAAAGATTATCCACCAAGCACAACCTAGAGTAGAAACATGATGAAAAAATTTAATGTCAAAATATAAATGAGACAACAACAATAACCAAAATGTTGTTGGATAGAATAACTAATAAAAACAAATGAGTTAAACCAATAAGAACTTATTCAAAAAAAAACCCTTCAAACTTTTTAGTCTTTAACACCATGAAGAAATAAAATTTAATTTTAGACTTAAGTAGTTTTTTAATCTATGTAGGTTGTCGAGTTTTTGTTTTTTTTGTCTATATATCTTTTTTCTCCTGGATAAAACATTAAAGTGTTGGATTTCATTTGGTTTTAATTTCAAAAATTAAAATCCATATGAAAATTTACAGGTTTTCTGTGGATTTTAATTTTAGGGACTAAAAGCAAAAAAAATTTAACATTCAACGATTATTTCTAAAAAAAAAAGATACAAGAACGAAAAATAAAAACTCGCTAACTTACAAAAACTAAAAGACTTTTTAAGCCTTAATTTTATATAGCAAAAATTTTTCTTTCCAAATAAGAACACTTACAATGGAGTGTTGAAAATGATGTGGATTAATTGGTGTAAAAACATTCAACATGTTGATGTTAGACGACGACGCTTATCTAGAAGGGGCGTGAATAGAGGCGTAAAAATAAATTTCTAGACACAAATCTAGAATTTAATTTGTTTTCAAAACTTTTTGATGCGGAAGCAATTAATTAGATAAGTCGTCTAAAAACCAACTTATTGGAAACTCGGATATACAAATTATGAAAGATAAATCTATGAGATAAAATTGAGTAATTGATTAATATAAACTCAAATCAACAATCCACTTATTTATTATTTGAACACAATCACTTTGCAATGCTATTTCCAAGGCTAAATAATCAAAGAACTAACTTGATCGTTTTATCAAACATTCGGTGTACAAGTGAATTTTTCAGAATTTCTCTTTGAGTAGTGTTGATATACAAAACCACTTATAATCAAAATTGATTATAAGCTATATCCACACCTATTTCAAAAACAGATTTTGAGAGAAAAATGCTTACAATTCAATTACTATCACAATGTTATTTGATAAAAGAATTGATGAAATTGAAAGCAAGTAAAAGCGAAAAAGTAAAAACACACAAGGAATTTGTCTACATAGTTCCCCACTGTCATCCTCGCGCGTGGGTACGTCTGCGGTTAATTCCAATGAAACTAGGATAATTCTTATATGTAAAATATTTAATACAAAGGAAGAGTTAGAAACAACAATATAAAATTCTCCAATTTGGTGTTGATGCTCCTTCTTCCAACCTTTGATCTTAAGCAAGATCAAATCAATTGATAGATGCAATCTATTCACCGCTTAAGCTACTTCCTTAAAAGGATTTCAAACACCCCAAGATTCCTTGCCAAGATTCCTTGCAAAGATTTCAAACACTCCAAGGAATTTTTCACTCGAGTAAATCCTATTGCACACTATCAACACAAGATCACCAACAAAACTCCTCAAGCTAAACACGACAAGCTTTCGGAAAACACAAATTGACATGACAAAACAAATACAAATAACGATATGAAAACTGGGTGAAAATGAATTAACAAGTTGAAAAGTGAAGATTTGAAATTCAGAACATTTTCTTGTTTCAACTTGTTAAAACACAAATCACCACACACATAAACAAATATGAACAAACATGCTTGTTTTACGTCGTAAGCTCGATGCCTTTATTGTGAAAACTAGTAAAGTCCTCTCGTCATGCCATGGTATTGTCACACTGCACAAACCTAAAGAAAGTGTCCTAACAATCACACAACAATCGTTACGAAAACAAGACAATTCATAACAATACGTGAAAACACATATATGCACAAATATAATATACAAGTAAATGTACAATTTCTATACAACATATACATTAATTACAAAACTAAAAAACAAAAGAATTATCGCAATGCGAAAATAATAGAACCAATCCCCGACAACGGCGCCATTTTGTTGTTGCAGTATATAGCGGCAAGCAAAAAGTAAGTTATTAATTTACCTGGTGATATTTAGGTTATATCGTATCGAGTCCACAGAGATTGGTTATTGAATTTCCGTTCGACAAATCATTCGTTATTGAGTTTAGGGTTTGAATGGTATAGTATGTAAAGTGCTTAAATTAAAAGTTATACACAAGAAGAATTTCATCATTCGAATAGGATAGAACTCTCGGATTTGTATTTCGTCTAGCCTATCTCATGATTAAACTTACTACCCAGTTGTACTTAACATTAACTACTCGTCAATATCATCATGTATCGCTCACACCAAGGTCATTTCTAACACAGAGCAAGATATCAACTGTGTCGCTTCATGTCGACGATCTCTCAGCATAACACAAAACAACAGAGGCATTAAGAGTCGATATCTGAGTGATTACTACGTGTGATACGATGGAAGAAATGACTTTTGGGTTTTGCATTTTATCGCAAATATTATGGATAGTAAGAGTCGCCATCAACTTTTCTTTTATCCAATAAAGGAAAGGGTGAAAAGAACAGGAAATACCTTTTGAGAATTTTCTGAGTAAGGGGGTAGGTTATGAAAAGGGAAGGTGTTAGTATCCTTTTCACCCGCAGTTATCTACGGGATCTTAATCGCTAGCTCACTTTGGAAATGTTTTGTGTTTGTGTATGTTTGCAGATATTTTGAAAATGCCTACGTGCGGCAATTTCGTAATGATTCTCGTATCGTTGAGAATGTATACAAAATGTTTGTTTTGAAAATATTGTGAAAGAGAGTGTTGTTTTTGTGAAAAGTATTTTGAAGATGCCAATGTAAGGAAGTCTGCTTTATAATAACCCTTGTATCAATCCTCAAGAGTGTTTTATAAAGCATTTTGAAAGTAGTTGTTTTGAAAGTGTGAAGTGTGGAAATTGTTTTAGTTTGTGAGCAAGCGATTACGAGCGATCTACCTACTCAAAAAATATTTGTTCTTTTCCTCCTCCTTTAGATAGTGTTATCCTACCATTGGTTAGTAGGAAGCCCTATTTATTGGATGTGAGGGACAGGCGCGGACCATCGTACAATCATAGAAGGTAACTCGTAGGACGTTTTAGCAATTGTCGTAAGGGACTAAGATCGTTTATCGAAGGCAGCATTGAAGGCTCATCTAGGGACTATGATATTTTATATTAGGGTCTTTACTAAAGTATCCCACGTTCGAGGGACAAGACTGTTTTTTCATCTAAGGCAACAAGTGAGAGTCACCCTAGAGGTGCACATGTGCGAAGTGTTTTGATTTTAGTTATTTTATCTTAAGATTAGTTTATCTAGCAATTGATTTTAAATATTTGTCATACAATCCTATTAAACTAACAGTAATAAGGAAAGTAGTAAATTGTGGAAATTAAATTTTCTACGCTATTACAAGGCTTCGGGGGTGGGGAGTACAAACCATAAGAATGGGAGAAAAAGCAGTAAACCATAATTAAAGTTATTACAGACCATTGAGAAGTTAAAATAATCGAAAATATGTGAAATGAGAAAATACGCAAAAAATGTAAAATAAAGAAAAGTGAAATGAAATTGTTGTGATTTTTTGATAGAAAATTTTTTGAGGATTAACCTAATTATTTGATTAATTTTGATTAAAAAAAGTTTAGTAAAAACTTAAAGAAACTAAATTAAATTTAATAATAAATTAAAAAAAAGGTCAATTAATTTAATTAATTAAAAATAAATCTAATTTAGTTTTTAAAAAAACCTAAGTCTAAATTAATTTTAATTTTAAAAAAAGAGAAACTAATTGTTAGAAAATATATTTGATGTTTTATTTAGAAAAATATTTTATAGTATAAACCCTAATTCTAATTAATTTAGAAACTAATTAAAATTATAAAACAAAATGATTAAATTAAATTAATTTTAATTATAAAAAATTAAATGAATTAATTAAAAACCTAAATCAATTTTTTTATGATTTTATGATTTTTGTTGATTAAAAAATAAAATGATTAAAAAGAAATAATAAATTAAAACAAGAAAGTAAAGTTGAATGAGCCTGATGTGCAAAAGGAATTGGGGTGTGGAAACAACAAAAATATCAGGCCCAAACTGGACAAAGCCCAGGTCTGCGCTAGATCCAGTGAAATGGCTTTCAGAAGGTGCATCATGGGCCTGACTGACTGGAGCGCTGGATCTGGAATCTTGAGATCTGATGGTCAAGATATGAGGATGCATGGTGCGCGCATATGCTTGGCTTGAACTAAATCTACAATGAAAATGTTAGAAAATAAAATGCCAGAGGCAGGGATCGAACCCATGCCCTGACACACCAACGCATTAATCACACACACGCTTGCCACTGGGGTGGTTATTTC